TTTTCAGGTCATCAAAATCCGGGCCCTGCACATTACATTTTTGGGTCATATTTTTGGTAATTTTCTGGATTTCTTCGGTCATTTTTTAAATATTTTCAGGTCATCAAAATCCGGGCCCTGCACATTACATTTTTGGGTCATATTTTTGGTAATTTTCTGGATTTCTTCGGTCATTTTTTAAATATTTTCAGGTCATCAAAATCCGGGCCCTGCACATTACATTTTTGGGTCATATTTTTGGTAATTTTCTGGATTTCTTCGGTCATTTTTTAAATATTTTCAGGTCATCAAAATCCGGGCCCTGGTAATAAGCATTACCCGAGTTCTATCTCCTCTTAATTTCCTCCTGAATCAGGTTTTGATTTGTTATCATCGTTCCTAAATATCTGAACTGTGCCACATTTTCAAAACATCTGTTACCTTTCTTCATGCCCTGATATTGCTATGCATTTTGGTGACGAGATACCAACATATACTTAGTTTTCTGTGTGTTTACTTCTAGACCAATCTCCTTACTAGCGTCAATTAAAGGGAAACTGCTTTAGAATGTGTTCTGGTGGTAGGCAGGCCTCCTTTCGTCTTCCTTTTCACTTAACGAAAAGCGAAAGTAATTTAAAATCGTATTTTAAACACACGAAAAAAAAAGTATAACTGAAAGCACTATACAATTATTGACATTTTTGACATTACCGATCGTCTTAGTTTTTTATTTAAAACAGTGTTTCGGAGACTGGAATCTGCCTCCGTCCGCAGATAAAAAGCCTACCCTATCTGCTGAGCCCAACAAACAGGATGTTTCTGATTTTCCAGCGATTCGGCACACACTGCGGTTACCATCTTCAGGATTTCAGATTCGGGTAAATTTGCAGCTAATCATCGCGTTCGCCAACACATCCGTTCTTGGTTCCGGGCCCCGTGGCACCCAACGGTGACATTTTTATGTCTGACGACAGAGACTCAACTACACAGGATTTAGGGTGTGGGGTCGGGAAGCCCTCTGGTAGTGGGCACTAAGTCGCAGGCGGAGACGCGGCTGTATGAACTGAAGAGAGAGGTGCTATCCTATAGCAGACAAAAACGATTAAGAAAAAAACGGCGACTGAGGGTTTCTTTTTCTTTAGACCTGGTGGCCAAGAAGAAGAGGTTAAGAAAAACATTTTTATGACTCCATGTTTGGGGCAAGATAATGGAAGCGGTTTAGCGACCACGTGGCACTAAGAAGAGGCAATGAAAGATGTTTCTGCGATCACACGGTATTGAAAGGAAGTTTTGTTTCTTCCTTAGATCACCTGATTGGAACTAATTTGCTTAAAAACCTTCTGGTGGTCATGTGGTTAGGAAAAATTATTAGGACCTCCTTTCCTAACCATGTGACCTATAAATTCTCTTCGGCAAACATTTCCCACTGAAAAAAAAAAAATCTTTCATCGCCTTTTCTCGATACCACGTGGTTGCAAATCCAATTTTCAACACCTATTCTCACAACGGTCTCAGCTCCTGTCTTCTAAGCACGGAACGCAAATATGTTTCTCATTACTTCTCTTCATGACCACCAAAAAAATAAAAAACAAACTCCGTGGCCTGCAATCCGCAAGCGAACTATACCGACCGAGCGACCGCCGCTTGTGGGCGAAGTTAGTGCCAACTTTTGCGGATAGAGGGTTTCCCGTGGTCAGCGAAACGAATGCCCATGGCCGTTAATCTCTGTTTTCTAGCCCGGAGCCGTTATTTCCTTGAAACAGCTCCTCATTTATCCTCATGGAGCTGAGTGGACCCCGTTTCAGACTCACTACTTCTCATAAAATCTGGTAGCGCTGGGAATCGAAACCGGGAACTCTGGATCTGTAGCCAGGAACTCTGACCACTAGACCACAAAGGTCCATCAGGTCTCAAAAAAATATTTTTCGATCAATTCTTTTCTTCAGTCGCGTGGTCGATCCTTACTGGATAGCATCCAGCCCTTCGGTTCTGCTCCACCTCCCACTCTGCGCCCCTTGCCACATCACTACCCCCGAAGATGACAACGGTTATGTTTGCCGAAACGCTGGGAAACCTTCAACATTCTAAGCAGCATACTCCCGACTGCCGGAGTCATACGTTAATTACAAGTATGCCACACCAGTTCTACGCCTTATTCTTTTTGCTGTCTATCACTTATAACTAATTACATGGAGCCGAGTCCTTGAGAAGCCGCCAGTCGCTCAGCTACTCAACAATTTCCCAGTACTTACTTACTTACTTACTTACTTACTTACTTACTTACTCACTCACGGAGCTGGGCCCTTCTTGATGAGCAGCCAATTCTGCAGCTACTCAAGAATTTCCCAGCATTTTATGGAACCCGAAGGTTCATTATCGTGTTCACAAGAGCCCTCCACTGGTCCCTATATTGAGTTAGATCAATCCAATCCATACCATCCCATTCTATCTAAGGTCCATTTTAATACTGTACACCCACCAAAGTCTTGGTCTTCCCAGTGGTCTCTTTCCTTCTGGCTGTCCCACCAATATCCTATATGCATTCCTCGTCTCCCCCATTCGTGCTACATGCCCTGCCCACCTCATCCTCCTTGACTTGATCATTCTAATTATACTTGGAGAAGAGTACAAGTTATGAAAGCTCCTCATTACGCAGTTTTCTCAAACCTCCTCTCATTTCATCTCTCTTCAGTCCACAAGAGTTTCCCAAAATTTTAAATAAATAAATACATATATGGAACAGCCTTTGATACCTATCAATGAAAATTTCATTTACCGTGTAGAAATAATAATACTACTTATTTAACACAAAAGTTCAACTTTCTTCTACGTGTGTTCTACAGCTCAGGTGCTCAAGGACCGTCTGCTGAGATAAGAGTTCATACCAACTGATCCGAGGGCCTTCAGAAAAGTAATGGCAGTGTGCGACGTCCCGCTTAGGGTGTATTAAAGTGTACTTATCGTTTATCGCTCTCATACCTCCTATGAAACGATATAACGCCACCTGGCACTATCCAAGCCACCTGGTCTAGATGAATTACACGGTTATAACCAAAGCAAAAACTGCCAAAATTTTGGGACATTAAATGTGAAATTACAGTCTGCTTTATATATCTAGGGGCCCAAATCCTTTTAGCTCTCTCATCGGAACATCATGCTGGCAACAACAGAAGTTGTAAAAATGAAGCAACACAAGGTCTCCTGAAAGGATTTACGCACACTGCTGCTTTCTTTTCGAAAATCTATCCACGGTTCTCTTTTGACCTCAAATACGTCAAAGCAGGAATATTCCACGTGACAGAGGTTAAATTTTAACTCTTACAAACCTTCGGGGAAAAAGTAAAAAAGTAAAGCTATCCCTGTAACAGGCCGTGAAGGCCCATAGGGTTGTGAGACGTTGAGGGTCCTACACTATCTAGGCAATCGGCTCAAAGATGGCGGGTACTCATTTCTGTTAGGGGCTGAGTAAACCCCAGGACCTAGTGCGGCTGGAAGGATTAGGTCAACTGAATAAATCCAAATGACCTCATCGGGACTTGAACCCGCGACCTTCCGGCTTGTAGCATAGCCCCTCAACCAACTACGCTAGAAACTGTGTCTAATAAATCCAGGGCTTCGAATGCAAAAGGTAATTAAGCAGTACGCCATGAAGATGTATAGATCACATATTCTTGACCTAGACATAAGTTGGACGTAAGCAGGGCTTTGAATGTAACATAGCATTTTGTTATACTGGCTGCATGTAAGCATATTCTTACTTCGATTTGTTAACCACAATGTCTGAATTATCATGCACTATTCGTCGATCATGCGATGCTATCGAACGTTCTGGCTCCCAATTATATAGTATAATTATTTCTTCCTCTTCTTCTACCTTCACGGATTAGGCCCTCTGACCTAATCTGAATCTTAGAAATAGTCGGTGGGATTCCTTTGACGGGTGATCAGCCCGTCGCAAGGCTACTACTCCCTACAGAGAACAACACAAAATAAACGCTTCCGTTCCTCGTGTGGGATTCGAACCCATGATCCCAATGGTTTAGCTGGCGAAGACATTACATAAATTTCTTCCATGCCAAAATTAAAAACAAACAAGTGATGTATTACTACAATTACATAAAAACCAATGCCTATCGAGAGTTCTAAAGTACAGTGACTGAAATCACTGCTGACAAATATCTGTAGCTGTGTGTGAGCTCGAGAGTTTTTCCGTTAAATCATGTTTCTAGGAAAGGCAGAAAATTCTGTGTACGTCGAAGAAAATTCAGCACGAAAATACATGCGAGTTGTGACGAATACGACGCGGCAACTAGATGTCTGGCATGGAACGGGATACGCCCTCTGTGTCCGGAATGCGATACTTTAACATTATGAACACCCGATGGCCTTGGTTTATCTCCGTGTATTTTTTACTTAATCCAAGACTCAGCAGTCGACCTCTCGGCTTTCAGGACTTGGCGGGAGAGGCCACAGCCCAGTTCAAGATCCACGTGCGGCCTCCAAAAGAAAGGACAAAGAATGGTGAAGTAGCAACAGGCTGCAGCTGCCGCCGTCACCAGCACTAGCTCCTGCTGCCATGAGATGTGGCGGGAAAACTCAGCTGTCGTGAATATGCAGACAACCCACAAAAACTGTCATATTTTTTGCGGTGCTGGGTCGAAGGGTGTGGGTCCACGAAAACTGGGTCACTGAACACTAAGACGGCGGATACTCCATATAACTATCTGCCTTACATACCAAACATGTTGGCCGTTCTCAACTCGTCAAATGCCTGGAATTTTAACAACTTAATAGAAAAGACGGTACAGGAAAGAAGAAAAAAGTGTTGCTATACCTGATAGAAAGACAACAATTTCTGAACTTCCCAGGCATTGCATGCTCCAGTGGTACGCAGCTTAATAACCTCTTTCCCGAATTAAATAAAAATTGCAACAAATATTTTAAAATCAATAGCACTCACGAACTGAGAGACATTGTTAAACATTAAGTTAAAAACTTGGACCACGAAGGAAAAAACTTACCTGTATGTGTCCTGAGATGCGCCTTTAGATGAGAACTTTTCCCATAAACCTTGTCACAACCGGTGTAAACGCATTTGTGAGTCTTTTTGATAATCACTGATCTCGTTGATGGCCTACTGGAAGACGAGGAATTCTTGCGTCCCGAAGACAACGCAGCATTTTTGCGTGAGAGCTTGGATGGCAACTGAACCTTTTTATTTAAGTTCGACACAGTCACATTCACATTCACCTCTACATCTTCGTCTTCATCAATCATAAGTTCGTCGCTCTCATCACCTTCCTCGTCATGACTGCTTGGTACATTTGGAACAGGTTCTTGCTTGATACGTGTTAAATCTGTTAAAATTCGGGCTACCATGTAAAGCGAAGACGATTCATTGCTGTTTGCCGTTACAGTGGTACCAGCAACATCCTGTTCCACAAATACGGAAGGAATAGGGGCGTTGACGCTTTCAACAATAACAGCGTGGTGGTGATTATTGTTATTATTATTCACACTTCCACTATGATAATAGCTGCGATCTCTAGTTGCTGCCATAGATCTGTGTGATAAATCTAATGGTACCGGAGTCCAGTTATGGTCTTTGGCATGTGACATAGCCAACAAACACTGAGCGGCGAAATTTATATCTTGATCCATTACTGACGGCGTTAATAATCGAGTAAAATATAATACACGAGTTTACAACACTCAAGCTGTCAGTCGAAGGGCTTTTAGAAGTATTACAGCCCCCGACTAGTATCTTATAGGCGCCACAAAAATAAAATCCAGTTTTCTTTGTTAGAAATGCCCCGTTTCCCGTTCCCCTAACACACCACTAACCTCTCCCAACGTCAACACACTACTAAATTCACCATGTGCTCGTCCCTAACTTTCCACAGGAGCAAGACAGCAGATGTCACATGATCTCCTACGAAGCGCCTATTGGCTGTCACAGACACGAGTCGCGGCAAGATACCGTTGCAAGCGTTGCAAGGGCCATCTACTGCGATCTACTGGTAGTATTTTGTACCGAGCCGCGAATCTTGAATCGCGTAAAAGCCCTTGTGGGTTTAGGAACACGACTGTATTGCAGCTCGGAAGGTCCAAAGTTTTAAAATTCCTTGCATTGAATATTCATAAATTTAGAATATAAGGAAATATTGACATTGTATTCGTCAATAGAACAATGTTCACAGAATTCCTTAGAAACATTGTAAAATCTCAGATAATCGACATCTCAAAATACACAAAAATTTCAGTTTTACTATTATATTTTAGCATCCCATTGTATTGACGTATATTTGCTATAGTATCCGTCGAAAATACAACAATATTAAAGACATTAAGAATATGTCGTTCACTTAAAATGTATTTTGATGCTATGATTGTTAAAATCATTAAAATGTCCATAGGACACTACAGGTATACAACTTTATACACTAATATTGATGTCAAAATTCTTTGGACTGTCTTAATTTTACATGTATTTTCTTAGTTTTTTAGTTTTTCACTACATGTTTCGGCCTCACATGGGCCATCATCTGCATATCGACTGCAAATTTCACCAAAACCTCAGAGACAGATGGTTACAGTGATTGCATAGAACTGCAGTCAACAGCCACTTGAAAATACGGTGCAAGTGGCAGTTTAATTTTAACATATTACTGGAATTACCTATGCTCTTATACACATGCACTCAAAATTACACAGAAATGATTATAAAGTTTCTTTCCTAATATAGAGAAAATAGCGGTTTTATTATTGTCCACTGATTTATGTCCATAATAAATCATCTAAACTGGTATTGACAACCCACCGAACATGTATATTTATTTTACATTCCTACATGCAAGGATTTTCTTCACCTCTCTGTTTTGTTGATATCTTTTCATATCCCAGATACAGAACTCACAAGGTGTAAGATATTTGGATATGCAGGCCACTTCAGAAACACACCTCTCTGAATCCACCTTTGAGGAAATCTTAATCCAGGTAACTGGTAACACTTTTCTTATCCATCCCTTATATTTTACCGAGCATCTGATTGATGGTAGGGATCTTGCAGTTCATCACTATTTGGAGACTACCTCTGAGGAGCAGCCAACATCCTAACCAGCAGATATGCTGGTTCTTTTGCCAGGGTGAAGTAGGTTGACAGTGAAGCAGATTTCCATGCCTTGATGGTGCAAGGCATAGATGTACCTTTACCTTACACTGGGTTATATGTGGGGGGAGAGGACAGTCTAAATATTCCCTCCCACAGATTCCAATTGGGGGCAAGGGTGTCTTTGACTCAAGCAACATTTTATATGAACACAATAAAAAATTGTTCAGATTGAACCCATGTATGTGCATAAAAAGGAAATATCTCATCACCTACAAGGATATTGTTACCATTGTTGTTGTTGTTGTTATTACTCCAGAATTGACTGGTCCATTTTGAGGGCAACTACCTGACACAGGCCAGAGCTGGATAGTTTAGTCAACATAGCAAAAAGCTACTGGCTGGATGGCCTGGATTTGATTCCCAGCACAACAGACAAGACATTTTTCTCTTCTCCAGTGTTCAGGCAGGCTCTGGGGCCTACCCAGGTTCCTGTGCAAAGGTAATAGGGGTAAAGCTGCCAAGATGTGAAGCTGACCACACCTCTATTAGTGCTGAAATACATCTTCATGGTATGGTGCTTATTTACTTAATTACATACCTAACACAGACCATCCTGTAAAGCCTGTTCACAGATGTACATCATATGTCTCTGAAGAACAAATAATTTTCTCATTACTCTACAGTTTCAAAAATAACTGCTTACATCATAATACTACTTTGTAACTTTCCATTTCATTTGTTTTATATTTACACCACTTCTTACTTTCTGTACCCTCATATCCACATATCTCATTTTTGCACTGTGTTGCTGATAAATTGAGAACCAGTAACATACCTACTTTACTATCAGAAACATAAACATAAACATCAGCAAAGGCACAAGGTCAGTTCAACCACAGATTACAGTAGGCATAATTATGTTCCTTGTAGGATAGATTATTCATTTTGCCCATTATGACATCAGTTTGGTACGGGTAGTGTTACACTTTACTACCAAAACTGTGTGCAGCATTATTGATACTTTGACAGAGAACATTTTCCTGATATACTGTAATCAGTGCAAGGAAATAAATTAGATATAGTTATATGGTGATTTACTTCTTGTTCTAACACTAGTGGTAGTTTACATTATTAGGATGGGTTGAAAGAAATTAGTGAACTACCGTATTTTTATGTTGTAGAACAAGATTCACAAGATTCTTTTCAGTCTAACAGAAGAATAGTTTATCATAACTTGGAATGCTTTTGGCATGTTTCTGCACTCTTCTGACACTAAAATTATTGACTCAAATTCAAAATACTGACCATCTGTTTACATTTATTACCACAGGGGCAAAAATTTTGGTAGCATGGACTGCAGCTATGGTCTCCAATGGAAGTATGTGAGTCACTTCTGTACTCAAACTATGTGACAACCAAGTATAGAAAGAAGCCATCACCAAATTCTTCAGTCCTCCTGCAGCAGCTGAGAGTAAACTACACAAGTAGCATGCCTGAAATCATCCATTTTTGATAATTTCTAGGTAGTGAAATCATACATAAATGAGCATACTGAGTTCCAATCTCTTTATTTGCTTCACTTGTCATAAAATAATAGAAAGAAACGGAATTAAATATTGGAAATATAAAATCACATTAAGTATAAATAGAATTGAGGAGTGACATTTGCCAAGGGAAATGTAAAAACAATTTTATTTCAGTAGACTAACAACTTCCATGATGCCACATCCTTTTTGAGAAATCAACAGTTGCCTAGTGACTACCCAAATGACACACACAAATAGGAATGCAGGAGATGATGCTTAGAAAGATCTGTAAAAAGAAAAGATAAATATTTTACTTCACAATATTTCTAACAAGCCAATTGTGCTGAAAATTTTGAAGGTGGAAGGAGGCAGTACAGGTTTATGAATATAACCTATAACTCACAGGTTTTAATATCATCTTTCCATCTGTGCTTAGGTAGTGTTGACCATGATGATCAAAGTAAACCGGAGTAAAACCATGATATTGAAAACTCTTCAAACCCATATTAGTTGACTTTCTTAACCAACTGCACAGTGCCTACATGTTCTGAACAGATGATAAGTATTCAGCTACGAAGCTATTCACAAAAATCATTGTGACCCATAACTGTCACCACAAAAGCCAACCAATGGACCTATCCAGTTTACACCCACTCAACTTATCCTCTCTAGATTGATCACAGAATCATCCACTCATCTGTCTTTCTTCTTGGTGATCTCCGTAGAGATGCATGAATTCACATTTTTACAAATTCAGTAAAGTTTATCAAGTTTACTCTGCTACCAGACAGACCTGAGAAAAACCCAGAAACAAGAATGATACCTAAGTGAACAGAAAAAATATGCCACTGGGCATAACTCATTCATGAGCTAGTACTTACTGAACCTATACTGTACATTTAGTGCAGATTCTGCAAGTTATGTGATCTAGAAAACTGAAATTAACAGCCGTGGGGATTCGTTGCACTGACCACATGATACCCTCTATCCGCAAAAGTTGGCACTAACTTCGCTGACAAGTGGCTGTCGCTCAGTCGGTATAGTTCGCTTGCGGACTAAAAACCACAGTTTGTCTTGTTGTTGTTTTATGTATATGTGAGGGGCCGGAAAGTTTAGTTTGGATATTGGAAAACAATATTATTTGTAACGCCACAAATATAAGGGCACAACTAAAATATTTCTGAATAAACATGTGTTGTAAGTTTTGATTGTGTCCATAATCCTGGCGACATGGAAAGAAGCACTTCTGGCAATAAGTTGGTAAAAAAAAGGTAAAGTTGTCCCTGTGTGTAACTAATTAAGCACTACGCCATGAAGGTGTGTGGGGGAGTGGATATATAGATCCACATTTTCTTGACTTCAGCGCTAGTTGGAGGTCAGTGGTCAGCTTCAAGCACCAGCTGTTTTACCCCCAGAGAAATAGTTCCTGGTACCCATTGGATTTGTTTTAATCATTCCCAAATATCTTAACTGTGCCACATTATCAAAATTATCTGTTACCTCTCTTTATGTCATGATTTATCCTCCATTTTGGTGACAAGACAGTAACATATACTTAGTTTTCTCTGTGTTTACTTCTAGAATCGTCTTCCTTATTAACATCAATTAAAGTTTGTGTGTTCTGCTTTATAGTATCTATATTATAACCCATTAGACTCACATCATCAGCATAGATTAACAGTTGATGTGTAAATGGGAGTACAATGAGACAGTACATCAGCTATTCATAGACTTCAAGAAAGCCTATGATTCAATTAGGAAGGAAGTATTGTACAATATTCTGCTAGAGGTTGGGCCACCCATGAAACTAGTTAGGCTGATTAAAATATGTATGAAACATATATTAAAGTTTGTATAGGTAAACATTTGTCTGACAATTTTCCTACCCAGAATGGTCTAAAACAAGAATATGCCTTAGCACCACTACTTTTCAAACTCCTCTTTAGAATATGCCATTAGGAAGGTCCAGGAAAACCAGGCGGGACTAAAATTAAAGTCAACAAGCATTACAATGGCTAATACTGACTCATGGCAATAACAATGTTGAATCTGGTAATAATATTAAGAAATGTTAGGATTCACATTGATAGGTACAAGTATAAGTGATGGTATCAGCTAGAAATTCAGGATAGCTCAGATACCGTCCACACTGATAGCAGAAATCATTGAAAAAACAGACTGTGCCATAGAGCAGTGGTTCTCAACAGGGGCCATATAGCCCCTCAGTGGGCCAAGCTGTATTTCTGTGGGGCCGCAGACAAAATTTGGAAAAATGGAGGGCCATGGAAACTGTTAAGTGGGCCACAAAATTTTCACTTCTAAAATAAAGTTATTAATAATATAAAAAGAAATAAAAATGCCAAATGGTCAGTAAATATAATAACACAGTAACTCAATATCCTTGTTTTTCTGTACCTTACCTAGAAGGGACAGAACCTATTGTACTTAAACCACAACCTAGATCTGGGAATTCCAAGTACCGGTAAACAGGTACGCGCCTTCTCAGGGAGGGTAGAGCCCTAAGGAATTATTCTTTATTTTCCTAAATATCTCCCCCTCCTCTCATGAGTTTTACCGCCACCTTTTCAGTAAATTTCAGGCGTTCTTCAGTTCAGTATTCAAAGTGTTTGGAAGAAGACATTTTTTCTGCGCAAGTTCTATTATTGTGGCAGTTCCCTAGTTTGTAGGTAAGTTACAAACTCCAGCTACTATTTTTCGACAGTGATCTTCGATTATCTCTTATAACGCTGCAACCAGAAATACAAAAACTTGCTTCTTCTCATCAGCCGCAAGGATCTCACTAAACCTGAGGGACACCAATATTATTGTAATATTTTTTGTCAGGAGCATAATTATATACTGTAAATAAACAGAACATTATATAAGTAAAAATTCTATTATAAATAAAGGTTTTTGTTAATAAATCTCTTTCTTATTATCAATATTCCTTATGCTATAAACAAATATTGTTATAAATAAAAGTACATATTTATAATCAATATTACATTTATTATAATTACACAATATGAGGGGGGGGGGCACAGAACTGAATGAAAGTCAGAAGTGAGCCACGAGCAAAAGAAGGTTGAGAATCACTACTACAGAGGACTGGATGGGCATTGCCTAGCACCTTTTTGTATACACATTTATTTTTCAGAATAAAAAATTATAAACTTAGAAAAATATATGTTCGTGGAAAAAACGGTAATCTGATACCCCTGCACCATCTTAATTTGAATTCTTTGGTTGGGAAGTGTATTCAGAGAAGACCGCTGCAAGCGGTTAAACAAGAGAAAAATTGTCGGAAACAAAATGTAACTTGCTCAACAGGATTAAGTGGCAACAATTGTGGCATTTCACCTAAATTCAGAAGTAGTGATTCATGTTGGTTACCAGTCCAGTACATGGTTGTATATTACCAATTTGGATTCTTTAAGACATGTATAAGAAACGCTACCCGTAGTTTCTAACAGTCGCTCTCCCCTTGTAAGGATTTGGAAAGGATTAGGTCAGCGAGGGTTGTTGTCGAGAAAATTTGTCCCATTTTCTAAAAGTTGCACGACTATATATATATATATATTTTTTTTTATCCTCCGCAGAACCAACTTTTAACCGACCTGGAACTGCGTTTGTACTTTCATTTATGACATACTGTAGCACGTCTTTTCTTAACAGAACACATAAATTCTGTATTGAAAAGAAATCTTCGAGCCGAGTTTCTGGTCACGCCAGGTCAACAGCCTTTTTTACGGTTGTCAAGTCATTGACACCGCCTTATTTCGCATTAGTCGTCGACAACGGTTTTGATCCGGCTTTGTATGTATCCAGATACTTCTCCGAAGCATTTGTATTAGGTGTTCGCAAATAAAACGGCAGTAATCTGCGCCACCTACTTTCGTGTTGTAGCAAACAAATGATACTCATAGCCTCATAGCAGGCGTGGGGACGTGTAGTTTGTAGCGGTTGGTAGTAGGCAGCAGCAGTTTAGATTTCGACGAAATTGGAAGAAATTACAACAAATTATTTAAAATAAGTGTGCGCATGTGAGTGTATAAGCAAGTTTTTATTAATGAAAATAGGCTGGACTTTGCTCGTCTCAAGTTGAGAAATAGCGCAGCTCTTTGTTTATATTCTGTTTGTTTTGATAATTATATTTTGCCTCTCGCCAATATAACAAACGATATATGAGTTGTGAAGTGCCACAAATATTGAAGGAGTGTGCGGAAAGTGGACTATCGTACTATGAATAGGCGTTTTTACAGACTGAATGTTTATTGCCTGATGTGAAGAAAATGGAATCGGTGTATGAACGAGGACGTCGCTCATGGATTTCTGAAAAAATATGTCTCAAAGATTATTTTTCCGCGTTTTCAGCGGCAATACCAACATTAAGCAGCACCGAAAACACAGATTCGGTGGAGAATGATGATACGGGGAATGCAAGTATATGGAATTTAATGGACCATACTTTTACTAACGAAGAAATCAGAATATTGTCAGAAACTTGTAGGTTTGTATAAACTTTTAATGAAACCGAGAGTTTATGCAGGAACTGAGAATGTTTTTCCTCCTCCCATTTTCCATTTGGAAGTATCAAGGAACGGGTGGTTTTAACATTGACATTTGAATACCATATTGACCAGTTTGCATTCTGAGATAGCTAACATCTAGCAGGAATGTAGTAAAGAAATACATATGCGATATTATGTGATGCCATAAATTTACTGTTAGTCTATTTTATGAGCAGGGAGCACCCGGTAGCGTAGTTGGTTGAGGCATTATGCTACAAGCCTGAAGATTGTGGGTTCGAGTCCTGATGGTGTAAATTTTTTTTTCAATTTACCTCATCCTTCCAGTTGGACTATGGCCCTGGGTCGACTCAGCCTCTAACAGGAATCTTCCTGGGGGTAAAGGGCAGCAGACACATAAGGTTGACAACCTTTTTGCCATTTGTGAGGAGATTGTCTAAAGAAAATGTGAGACCCTTGACATTACACAACCCTATGGGCCTTCTCGGCCTGTTACAGGGTTAGTTTTACCTTACCTGTTTTATGAGCTCATTACCTGTTTAGTACAGGAATAATTTCTAAAAATTCATAACTGCAGGAACAAGATGTATAGATTATGCGAGAGCATTCTGAAAATTGTTCACTGGGAGAGGCAGGCTAGTTCCCCCTGCATGTTACACTTTTTCTACAAAATTGTTCCAATAAATTTTGAGCAGTTACTATAAAATGAGCATATGTGTTAAATATCTGTCTGCTGTAACTCCAAGCCTCTGTTACTCTGTCACATTACTTGTCTCAAAATGACATGTAAGAATTGCATGTGTTTGTATAAGATACCTATGTGAAAATAAAGAAAGATTCTGGTTTAAGTTACAGGATGTTACATTTCAAAAAGCTCTTTGTACAGTTATAAATGAATTCAGACAAAGTTGTTAGTGATAAAAAAAAAAGAACAAAATGCTAAATGATCATTAAAGAGACATTTCATGAAATCCTTTAGACTCTTTGAATAGGGAGCTGGGATTAAGGTTTAAAGTTTGATCTCTTTGAAAATATTATTGTTGCAAAACCAGATGCATTCTGGCAGAATCTACTAAGGAAGGCTATAGTTCAATGACGATTTCCAGCGTCTGTTGTTATCAGTGTGGATTTAATTTTTTATTTGTTCTGTGGTCTTTTTTATGCTGCTGCAAGTGTAAAAATGCGCAGAAAGTTGACACAAGGAACCAGTTTCCTTTTTTCTGTGGGACAGGCTAAATGGTTTGTGGCAGGCTTATGAATAACCTGCCTCTATTATTGAACCCTCTTACTGTTTAGTACAACATGGTGCTTATAATTAAACTTATGGAAATGCATGATGGTAGTATCCTATAGAGGGTTGTCTTTTGCTTTTTTGATAGGGTTAATTCTGCATATATTATTTTTTTAATTGCTAGTGGGGTGGGACTAAGACCCTTGTACTACAGCCACTTCTGGCCTATTGTACCAGCCCCAGATGATAGGTGAGGGTGATTGTGGAGTAATTGGTGGAATGAAGATTTGCAGGGGAAACTGAAGTACTCGGAGAAAACCTGCCCCAGCGCCACTTTGTCCACCACAAATCCCACTTGACCAGACCTGGGATCGAACCTGGGTGGAAAGCCAGCGACTAATGGCTTGAGCTATGGCGTGGCCCATTTTGCATATATACTTTACATGTTAAAATAAGATGTGAACTCACCGTGTAATTAATTGTGATGTATTTTCTTATATTTGTTAAATTTAATTGAAACCCTGACATATATCAGTCATAAATGACAATTTGCAGAAGAGGTACCAGGTAATATAGGAATTTTTACAATTTACGTGTGTGAATAAAAGATGGTGTCTAAGTCATAAAATGTTTATGAAGAGTTAAAATTAATACTGTATTGGAGTTCATTTATATGAACTGTAGTTAAGTACAACTTTCTTGATAATTGATGCATGATACAATATTGCATGTTGCTGCCCCATGCCTGGTTTTTATGATATCTGTAAATGTAATGTAAGAGTTATAAAGTTTACAAATATTGTAAAATGCAAGCTTGAGACAGCAGTACACAATACTGTACAGTGTACCATTTATCAAAAATGTTGCATTAACAGTACTCCACATCAGTGAACTTTAATATAATATCAGTTTATTTATTTATTTGTTTATTTGTAATTACATTTCATAGATCCAGTTGTTACCCAGTAGGGTTGGATATAAAATTTGTCACATACAAAGTTTTAACCTTCTGTGAAAATTTTATGACTTGGCTATTTAAAAAATCTTGTATTCATGTATGTGATTTGTAAAGTTTCCCTGTTTATCTGGTATTCCCCTTGAAGATTGTCATTTATGATTGAAACATGTCAGGGCTCAGTGATTTTTAATCACCATATGAAAATGCATTAGATATGCTTAGATGGTGATATCACATGGTATTTTAGAATGTCTTTCCCTTGTTTTCATTAAGCTCCTTTGCAGTGCAGGTAGTAGTTAGTTAGTTATTTAGAGAAGGTGGGTTTCCCCATGCACCTCGACCAGTTTGATCAATTGTGCTTCCCTCTATGATATTCTACCAGTCTCTTTACCCTACCGATAAATGGTGTGTACCATCAGTCCCGCCGAGCAAGCGAGCTCGACCACTTGCTTAGTGGTGTCTATAATGCTTCCCCCATCTATCGGAGGCCTTAGTGGCTATTGTTGTGCGGGAAACGTCCTAGAATTTGGCTCAGTGATCCCCTTTGGGGATATGAGGTTCTTTTATGTGCCTCAAAGTTACGACACGGGACACACAGCTTAAAGTCCCTCCCGGAGGACTTGTTCCCTGAACTTTTCCGCCCTTAAAAATTCGACGACCTCCGCCAGGTATTTGAACACGCGTACTACGAGTCATGAGGTGGGAACGTTACCTCTAGACTACGGAGGCCACTAGTGCAGGTAGTAAGATCAGCCTACACAATTAAACTGATTCGTTTGTCCACTGATAGTGTGCACATAAAATTATTTATGTTATCAAGTATGTAATCTGAAAGGAACAACTTCCATTTTCATATGAGTTACCGTTATGTACCTGGTGTTAATGTCCAGTGGATGTCTGTTGTTATTATTCTGTTATTATTATTAGAAAATATTGTCATGTGATAGTGACTATACATGGAGTCAGATTGGTTATTGGGTTTATTCGACACTGAATCATCTTAAATTTTACATTTGACAAGTATTTGCTATTGCTCCACAGTCTGTTGTCCCACTCTTGCTTGCTTCCTTGCTGGCTCAGTGATCACAGACATTTGGCTAGGTTTTTGAACTCTTAAAATGGTGACCTTGTTTGTTGACTTCCAGGCTTTCTTTGTGTTGCTTTGTTGCAGACTGATGGGAAAACGCCACCTCTATCAGCTCCTTAAGTGTTATGAGCATACATGGTGGTTAGGGATTGTCGCTTGACGTTACATAGCAATGGATGCCTCTGCAACATTTTTATGATTCCAAGATTCAGAATTTTAGGCATCATGTTACAAGATGAGGTTTTGAATATGATTTTATTAATATTTGACCTCTTTTAACAGTATCGACCAACTGCAAGTGCCAGATGAGCCCCCACTTGTTGATGTAAAATGTGTAAAAGCAAGACCAGGATTGTTTGACAAGTGCAAAATACCAGCAGCAGCTTCAAACTTAGAGACTCTGAAATGCCTAAGCAAACGAATTGTGAATGATCAAACAGTAGGACATCTTAAATACCGCAGTAACATTTGGATTGTAAGTATCATGTGTTTTGTGGTCATAGTTTTCAATAAGAAATGCAGTTAGTCCGTCTCTGATATTCATTCTTTCATTCATGCTTACATGGATGCTGTTGCTGTATGGGCAGTTGCATCATATTGCTGGAACCATATGTTTTGAGAGCCCATTTCCATGGGGACTCAGTTCTGGTGTGAGGAAGATCTGTAACATTTCAACATAACTAGCAGATGTGGCTGTACGTGTACACCCATCTTCTTCTTCAAAGAAATAAGGGCTTATGACTACGAAGTTTGCCACTCCACACCAAACAGTTATGCGTGCACTGTGAAAAGACTGTTGATGGAGCTGCTATGGATTTTTCTCTGCCCAGTAGCAAAATTCTGTTTGTTGACACAGCAAGATAAGTGGAAGTGTGCTTCACCTATCGTAAGGATAATGACATTGTCTGACAAAATTCTGGTTAAACCCTCACCTACTGGGCTGCAGTTTGCCAAGTCACAATCACTGAAATCTCGCAACACCATCATTTTGTATGGATGGAAATTGAAGTCTTTGTGTAAAATTCTGCCGACGCTGTGATCCAGTATTCTTACAGCAACAGAGTGTCTCCTGGCTAAACATCTAGGACTCAATGATCTGTGGGGGTCTTTTTTAATGCAGAAGTTTTCTACTCATAATTGTATGGTATTGCGGCAAAGAACTTTTCCACGAAAAGCAATATTGAAATGTTTGTAAAATATTCGCTGTGTTGTAATGACGGAGTCACCATTTTTAAAAAACTTTTTGACAATAAGTGCGTGATGTTGCACACCTTGCTGCTCCATGGCTAATGCAGTGGCATCAGTTAAGTTAGCAAATGACATGGGTCTCGCCATCTCATCCTCGGAGGTTGCTAACATAACGCATTTTAAAGTCACCAGGTTCCTTTGCCGTACCCAGGGAAATTTCAGATTGCATAAGAATGTCAGTATTTCATTTCACCCATTAACTGATGCATTTTTTGCCCATTGCAAGTGGTAGTTTACTGGGTGTGCAAGCACATGCTGAATTAGATTTTTGGCTGTTTCTTCACTGTTGCAGTCGTTTGGTTATGGTAGATTTGTTATCATAAACGCAGTTAATGAAACTACTCATACAAGGATCCAAAATGCAGGGAAAAATCATGACGTAACAATAGGAAACATATTTTGAAAATGTGGCACAATTCATATATTTGGGAATGACAGTAACAAATCAAAACTTGATTGAGGGGGAAATTAAGAGGAGATTTAACTCGGGTAATGCTTGCTACCATTCAGTCCAGAACCTTTTATCTTCTTGTCTGCTGTCTAAAAACATAAAAATTAGAATATACAGAACTATAATTTTGCCTGTGGTTCTGTATGGGTGTCTCTGACATTAAGGGAGGAACATAGACTGAGGGTGTTTGAGAACAGGGTGTTGAGGAGAATATTTGGACCGGAGAGGGATGAAGTGACAGGAGATTGGGGAAAACTGCATAATAAGGAGCTTCATAACTTGTGCTTTTCTCCAAGTAGAATTAGAATGATCAAGTCAAGGAGGATTCGGTTGGCAGGGCATGTAGCATGAATGGGTGAGAAAAGGAATGTGTATAGGATATTGGTGAGAAAGCCAGAAGGAAAGAGACCACTGGGAAGACGTAGGTGTAGGTGGGTGGACAATATTAAGAGTGGATCTTAGAGAGATAGGATGGGATGTTATGGACTGGATTGATCTGGCTCAGGATAGGGACCAGTGGAGGGCTCTTGTGAACATGGTAATGAACCTTCAGTTTGCATAAAATGCTGGGAAATTCTTGAGTAGCTGCAAATTTGTCTTCTCCTCAAGAAGGGCTCAGGTCCATAAGTAAGTAAGTACTCATTCAAGGATGGAGAGACAAGAACTTTGACCGAGTTATGAGACCTAACTGACCGTGGAACATCAGCTGAGCCAAGATGACTTAATAATCCAAAGGAAATCTTGTGCTTTTATGCTGTTTTATCCAGTGTAAGAACACTTTGACGAAGTGACACATCCGTTACTGATGCAGTGTTTTCCTGTCATGCATTAAACTGGCACATGTCTGATAGAATATACCTTAAATGACTGTTACTCTTATTTCTTGATGTCTCCAACACAAGACATGTTGCTAAACTCTGTGCTTGATGTCAAGCAAAAGCTGCTTCTTCACACTTCTCCAGTCTGAGAAATCACTTCTGGTCCTTTGAACATTTTCAGGTGTAAGAAATGTAAATAAATTATCAGTATTGATGATAAGCTAGGGAGTTGTGAATGAGGCACCTGTTTTAAACATTACCAGGAAAGCAGCAGTTTAAAAATATTAAGGTTTTGGGTGTCACAAGATAGGAATTTTGAGTAGTGTTGTAGGTTATCAGTGTCAAAGTTTTTTGGCAGGACTGGTTTATTAGTGTAGTAAATGTGAAATTCACTTATTGCTGTTCACTGAAAATTTAATTACTTTTTAGAGTAAAGTTGTTTGAAGACATAAATGTTACTAAGAGGCATATATTGAGTCAATGAAAATAATTGCTGTATGAGATGACAAGTTGTGGTCATTGATATGACCAAAATGGGTATGCAGGTCTTAGTTTCCACTAGCTGCACTTGGTCTCTTATATGCTAAAAGTGTTTCTTGAAGCCCTAGGAGAAAACCAAAGCACAGATGATCTTATGCTAGTCACCACTGCCACCTGTTTATTTTAACTTTTTTGATCTTGTGATAGAGAAAGTTGAGAAAATAACTACTGGTAATTCTATATCTGAGAACACTGGCTGTTAATAGTCAGGAGCTATGCAAACAAACCTTTTGCACAAAGCAGAATAGGAGTCCTGTCCTAGTGCTTAATTATGAATTTCAGCAAGTTATATGTAAGACCATCACAGATATGGCACTAATGCTATTGGACTCTGGGTTGCTGAATATTGATCCAATATACCAATTGTGGTTTTTCTTCTTCCCCATCACAACACAGCACTCAAAGGTTTGTTCATGTCAACTGTGTATAAGTTTATTGATCTGGATAGTGTCCTGCAACTGTGTTCATTCAACATTGAAAACATGTATGCAAATATCCAAATACATGAAGTTCAAAACGTCATGGAAAATGTTATAAACATGAATCATAATATCTCACAAGAAATGAAAGTAGAAATTAAAAATCTACTAAACAGAATTATATCGAACATAATGGAAAATGGTATAAACAGAATGATGGTCTGGCAGAGGGAGTGCCAACCTCGGCAATTGTAGCCGAAACATTTATACAACACTTCAAACATACAATAATTGTAGACATTTTGAAGAAACTTCAAATAATAGATTGTCATAGATATGTTGAGAATATACTAATCATATATAATACCTGCATAACTAATATAAATACAATACAATAAAATACACCCAAAAATAAAGTTCAAAATCATCATCATCATCAGTAATCTGTCAGACGACAGGTCCACAGTCTCTTCCAAAACAATTCCTCCACTTAATGCAATCTAGAGCTTTCTCCTTCAAATGACAGTATCCTCTTCTGTCCCCAAGGTCATCCAGCATCTTCTTACGTGTTCTTCCTCATATTCTTGTCACTTCTATCCGCCCCTCTGTCTTTCCTTCCATAACTTCTTTTAGAAGGCAGTTTCTGTGTAAAACATGACGAATCCGATTAGCCTTCCGTTTTCTTATTTCGTGTAGGATATTCCTATGCTCACTGACTCTAATTAACACTTCTTCATATCTCACATAATCAGTCCAACTGATCTTCTCCATCCTTCTCCAACGCCACATTTCGAAACTTTCCAGATGTTTCTGATCTACTGCACTAAGTGTCCATGTTTCAGCCCCATACAGAGCTATGCTCCAAATGTAGCATTTCACTAGTTTCTTCCTNATGTGGTGTTAACCGACGTTTCGGAGGAACGTATCGCCCCCATCTTCAGGGTTGAAGAAAAAGTATAGGTAAATCTGCAAGCGACAACACCGTGAGACACGGTAACGCAGACCCTGAAGATGGGGGCGATACGTTCCTCCGAAACGTCGGTTAACACCACATATACACGGCGCCAAAGCCCAGAAGACTGCTTTCTTCAAGCTACCCAAATATTTAAAACATTTCACATTCGTCAGTTGTTTTTGGTCTATCTTTATTGTGACTGGGGTTGGTTGTCTCAAAATTTTCATTACTTTTGTTTTCTCCACATTCATAGCATAGCCATAGCACCTTCTAATTTCAATTAGTCTATCAATCATGCCCTGTAGCACAGTTTCTTCCTTAGCCATTAACACAAGGTCATCTGCATATTTCACAGTTTGAATAATTTGCCCTCCTAATTTGAAGTCTCCGAGCCCATCCAGAGCTTCCTTGGTAAGGCATTTGCTGTACAAGTTGAACAGAATTGGTGATAAACAGCATCCTTGTCAAACTCCTCTTCCAATCTGCACACTTCTTGTCTCCCCTCTGTCCAGTCATACTGATCCATGTACAATTTGCTAATCAATCTTCTTTCACGCCAGTCGATAGCTGTTTCCTTTAGGAGCTGCATTAATTTGGTCCAGTTTACACGGCCAAATGCCTTCTGCCAGTCTATGAAGCAAACACACAGT